ACGAGGCCGGCGAGTGCTCTCCCACCTGGGTGGCCTGGAGCTGGTGGTGGTCGTGCGCGTGGTGGTGCACCGGGTGGTGGTTCTGGAGGCGGGCCCTGTCAGTACCAGATCCAGACCGGTCCTCGCCGCGGCTTCGTTTGCGGTAAGATCGGTCATTCTACTCCTCGCTGTTTTCGTCGTCTGGACGACCTGTTCCGCCAGCGCTTTGGCCCGGCGCCCGACCTCCCGGACTGGCACAGCTTGCTTAGGCGTAGCATTAGGATTTTTGACTTGGACATGGATGCCATTGTAGCAGCCTTGCATGTGATGTATGCTGATGACTCTAGTGTGCTTCCCTCTTATTACCCCGTGTTGCCTAGAGTAGCGGTGCCTAGCGTAGACTCCCCTGCTGCGTCAGGCGTAGGATCTCCTGCTTTGCTTAGCCTTGGTGCTTCCACCGCTTCACTGCCGCCTCACGCGACTGCTGCGCTTTCCTTCACCTTGGACTCTGGCGCCTCCCGGTGTTTCTTCCGCGACTCCACGACGCTGACGCCGCTGCCTGTTCCCGCTGCCGTTACTCTTGCTGACCCCTCCGGTGGTCCCGTCGTTGCCCGCAGTTCCACCTCCCTTCCCTGTCCGGCGGTTCCTTCAGGTTCGCTCACCGGTCTGCATATCCCCTCGTTCTCCAGGAACCTAGTTGGTGTCGTCTGCCTCCAGGACCTTGGCGTCACCACTACGTTCCCTGGTCACGAGCGGTATGCTGTCTGTACCGAGGCCGCCACTGGTGCCCCCCTTACCACTTTCCCCCGGGACCCGGTGTCCGGCCTGTTCACTCTTGACACCGCGACGTCCCCGGCTGGGTCTTCCCCCCCGGTAGCTGCGTCCACCCAGGTTGCTGCCGCGTGCTCCTGTCGGTCCCTCACTCACCCGAGTCTCCTTTGGCACCACCGCCTTGGTCACCCTGCACTCCCACGTCTGCGTCACATGTCCCAGCACGGTCTCGTCCTTGGTCTCCCCGGTTCGTTCCCCGAGTTTCCCTCCTCCCCCGCCCCACCGTGCACGCCTTGTGTCGAGGGCCGGCTCCGCCGTGCCCCTCACTCCTCCTCTTTTCCCCCTACCACCGCACCACTGCAGACTCTGCACATGGACGTCTGGGGCCCAGCCCCGGTCCATGGGCCGCGTCGCGAGCGCTTCTTCCTAGTGCTTGTCGACGACTTCACGCGCTACACCACCGTCTTCCCCCTGGAGCGGAAGGCCGACGTGCCTGACGTTCTCATCCCCTGGCTTGTCTCTGCTCGTGTCCACCGCGGTCTCCCTGCCTTGCGCCTCCACTCCGACCGAGGTGGCGAGTTTGCCTCAGGTGTCCTTGGTCGCTTCTGTCGTGCGGAGGGCATCACCCAGACGTTTACCCTGCCGGACTCCCCGCAGCAGAATGGGGTCGCTGAGCGACGCATCGGTTTGGTCATGGAGGTGGCTCGCACCTCCATGATCCACGCCGGTGCACCCCATTTTCTGTGGCCGTTCGCCGTGAGCTACGCCGCTCACCAGCTTAACCTGTGGCCGCACCCCCAGCGGCCGCAGGTTTCGCCGACCCTTCTGTGGACCGGGTCCCCTGGTGACGCGTCTGCGTTCCACGTCTGGGGCTGCCTTGCCCACGTCCGTGCCTCTGGCACGGACAAGCTCACTGCCCGCACCCTCCCCTGCGTCTTCCTCGGTTTCCCCCTTGACGCGTCCGACTGGCACTTCTACCACCCACCGTCCCACCGCTTCTTTCACTCTCGCGACGTCACCTTTGACAAGTCCGTCTCCTTCTACCGCCGCTTCCCTCACCGTGGTCCCCCGGTTACTCCCCCCTGTTCCTGGTCCCTCCTTCCCCGGTGGTCCCTGCCCCTCCCCCCCCCCCCCGCCGCCCCCCCGTCCGGCCCCCTCTGGTGTGTCTCACGTCACCCCCCTCCCGTCGGTCGTCCCGGTCGACGAGTCTTCTGACTCTGGTAGTCCTCCGGCGCAGTCCTCGCCGTCTGTCCCTCCCCCGGTGTCTCCTCCTCCCCCGCCTCCGCAGCCGCCGTCGCCGCACCTGCTGCAGCCGTCGTCTCCACCGCCGCCGCCGTTGCAGCCGTCGCTGCAGCCGCCGCCGCCGCCGCCGCTGTCGTCCCTGCCGCCGTTTGTGGACTCTGGGGGTGTCCCTTCTGGGGGTGCAGGTTTGGAGGGTTCGGGAGGTAGCCGTCGCGCCACTTGTGGCCCTGGTGTTGGTGTTGTGTCGCCGCAGCAGCAGTCCCCGCCTGTGACCGCCCTCCGTCTGCTCGGCCTCCCGTCTCCTGACACTGCGCCTGTTCCTCTCCTGCCGTCTCCCCCTCTTCCCGTCTACGGCCCCGTGTTCCCTCTGCCAGACTCGTCCCCGGCTCGTCTTCCCCCCCGTTCCCCTCCTGTGTCCCCTCCTCTGTCTCCTGACCCGACGCCGCCCTCACACGTCTGGTCTCGCCGCCCCGCTCGTGCTCGTCCTGTCTCCCCTGTCCCGCGCTCTCACCCTATGTTGCTCCGTTCCCACCCGTCTCGTCCTCCCCTCCTCCCGTCTCCTCCTCCGTCTTCTCTTGTCGTTGCGTCTCCTCCTCTGTCCGACTACTTTCGTGCCGCTCGTCCTCTTGTTCCTCGGGTCCTTGCCTCTCTTGTTACCGACCCGTCTGTTCCAGTGTCGAGTCTTGACGCCCTCGTCGCTGCGGTCGCTGACTTCGCCTCTACCCACCGCCTTGACTACGCCACCGCTCTGGTCTCTGACCCTGCCTGTCCTCCGTCTGTCGGGGGTGCTCCTGCCCTCGGCAGTGACGTCCTAGAGGACCGCCAGTTTGAGCTTGCTTTCCTGTCCGAGGCTGCTCCCCATCTCTGTTCCATGCTGCTAGTCCCTGAGGGTGACCCAGACGCTTTCGACATCCCGACCCCTCGTACTTACGCTGAGGCGGTTTCGGGACCCTGGGCCTCTCAGTGGATAGCTGCCATGGAGCAGGAGATGGCATCTTGGAGATCCACCGGCACCTTCGTCGACGCAGTTCCCCCACCTGGGGTGAACGTGGTCGATGGCCGCTGGCTCTTCAAGGTGAAGCGCCCTCCTGGAGAGCCGCCTGTGTTCAAGGCGCGCTACGTGGCTAGAGGCTTCAGTCAGCGCGAGGGGGTGGACTTCTTTCAGACTTTCGCTCCTACCCCGAAGATGACTACTCTTCGGGTTCTGCTACACGTAGCGGCTCAGCGTGACTACGAGCTTCACTCCCTCGACTTCTCCACTGCCTTTCTTCAGGGCAGCCTTCACGAGCAGGTCTACCTGCGTCGCCCTCAGGGCTTTACTGGCACCTTCCCCCCTGGGACCCAGTGGCTTCTGCGGCGGCCAGTCTACGGCCTGCGCCAGGCGCCTCGTGAGTGGCACGACACTTTGCGTGCTACCCTTGCTGACCTGCAGTTCTTTCCGTCCTCTGCAGACCCCTCGCTCTTCGTTCGTGCTGGCTCGACTCCGTTCTACATCCTCGTCTACGTAGACGACCTGGTCTTTGCCACTGCTGACAGGGACGCACTGGCCTCCGTGAAGGCAGAGCTGCTGAAGAGACACACCTGCACTGACCTTGGAGAGCTGCGCCGTTACCTTGGCTTGCAGATCTCCAGGGACAGAGCCGCGCGCACCATCACCCTGACTCAGTCACACTTGGTGCGCCAGGTCCTTCAGAGGTTCGGCCTTCAGTTCTCCTCCGCACAGCCCACCCCTCTTCCTCTGGACCACAGACTCTCCGCTCCAGTTCCTGAGGAGTCGGTAGATCCCAGTGGTCCTTACGCTGAGCTAGTGGGTTGCCTCATGTACCTTATGACTTGCACTCGCCCAGATCTCGCATACCCTCTCAGCATCCTGGCTCGGTTCGTGGCCACAGGCAGACACCGACCTCAGCACTGGTCTGCCGCTAAGAGGGTTTTGCGTTATCTTGCAAGTACATCGGGCATGGGGTTAGTGCTAGGCGGACGCAGGCCAGTGGTCCTTACTGGACACACAGACGCTTCTTGGGCTGACGACGCGGAGACGCTCAGGTCTTCCCAGGGCTACTGCTTTAGCCTTGGCTCAGGTGCTGTCTCGTGGAGAGCTACCCGCTCTTCGTCTGTTGCCCAGTCCAGCTGTGAGGCCGAGATCTACGCCGGTGCCATGGCGGCACAGGAGCTCCGCTGGCTGACCTTCTTGCTCACTGACTTAGGTGAGCGGCCTAGCTCTGCCTCGGTCCTGTACGCTGACAACAGGGCCATGATCCTCCTGTGTCAGGAGCCTCGACTCGAGGGCAGAGCGAAGCACATCCAGCTGCGGTACTTCCTCCTGCGTGAGCTACAGCAGCGTCGCCAGGCTCGCGTAGTACACTTAGCCTCCGGTGCCAACACAGCTGATATCTTTACGAAGGCGCTTGCGCCTAAAGATCATCAGCGGCACTGTGTACAGCTTGGTCTGGTTCCTGTAGTCTCTCACTTCCTCGGGCCTTGACTTTGTACTGTCCTATATATATCTGTGTGTACACTCAGACTGGACTTGTGTCCTCTTACAGTGGTTGGACTAGTAGTGCCGCCCTGTACTAGTTCTTGCCTTGCCTGTACTCCTTCTGACTGGTCTTTTAGACCCTTGTCTCAGAGGCTGGACTAGTAGTGCCACCCTGAGCTGCTTGTCTAGAACATTCCCCTATGCAGTCCAGGGGGTGTGTCAAACATGTTTAGTTATCATGCTTGTATAGACTGTATAGGGTCATCTTCTAGAGAGTACAACTGTTAGGTATATGTTTGTGTACTCTCTTCCTCTCAATCATCAATTTCACTGTTTAATACTACCTACTCATGATACCATGTTCAAGTGAAAGAATAACAAGAACAAGACATACATGAGAATATAACCTAATGGGTTGTACTCCTCAAGGCATAACCCTATCTAGTATACAAAAACATACAATATATGTTGAACACTATTATTGTCCACACACACAACACTGTTTACTGCGTTTTTCAAAGATTTTCAATATTGATCAACAAAAGAGATGGAAGGAAAATTAGACTACAGACCCACACACTTAGCGACAGGAACTAGCAATAATGCCAAAATATGGGCGTAACGTAACAAATGTAAACAAACGCATTTCTTTCAGCTTGTACTGGTAACAGCCGCGCCTCAAAGTGCCATCCACCGCTCCACAGGAATCTTGCACCTTGCGCAGCAAGGATGCCCCCCACCACGCTGCTGCGGGAAGAAACAGCCAACAATGAGCCAAGGGAAAGGAACGAGATCTGAGCAACAAAACAACCGAAAGAACAATACCTGGAGCACATCTTTGCACACAGTGCAAGTGCACCGATGACCACAAGGGAGAGCCAGCCACAGAGCTCGACGCTCCCAGCAAACCATGCAAACCTCCTCGCCGCCTCCCAACAGATTCAATTGCTGGGGTAGCAGGGAACGCGCATCCATCAGATTGCATGGCTGGAAGTTTTGCCCCAGTGGCATCTGTTTCGACACAGGGAGTGGCGGTCGCATCAGTCCAGGGGCCATAGGGGGAAGCTGCTGCTGCATCCATGGAGTATGGACTTGCGTTGGTGGCTGAGGGCGAAACTCCTGCAAAAATAAGTAGACAGCAGATTCAGCAGCTAGGCGAGAAATTATAAAAAGCTGACATAGATATGGTTTACCTGACTCTGGTAGGGGTGAAAGCAGTTCGATGACAGCATGGGAGCCTGTTTCGGTTGACCATGTGGGTTTTGTATGGCCCACATGTTGTAGGCACCCTGAGCTCTCGGCTCTAACGGTTTATGCAACAAAAGAGCCTCTCCCCCGTTGACATGGCTCGGAGGTTTCCGAGCTGAATCAATCGTGTTGTTTCCCAGCACTGGCTGGGAATATTCTGCCGCGACTAGCGACTTGTCGCGGAGTCCATAGAATGCCGAAACGTCGGCATGGAACGGATCTTGCAGCTTCGAGAGTGCGTCGATGGTAGTCGTTTCTTCCTGGCCAGAGCCGGGAGAAGGGTTGCCATGAGCAGCCAACGGCACGAATTGCTGCAGAACGGGTCGAGGAGCGTCCATCGGCAGCAGCCCGGTTCCAGAAAATGCGAAGGGCTTCGCGTTCGCTTGATCGAACATTTCGTTGACGTTGAACATGTTTAGCGATTTCAGCATCGTCGGGTCAGGCGCGGGACAGCTCATCGATCGATTCCGCACTTCAGGAGTGAGAGATCCGGGCTTATCCGCAGGGTCGTCGTTCAGGAAGCTTAGAATGTCGAACGCCAGCCGTGAGTCTTCATGCTCGTGACCTAGCGAACCCTGTTCAGCTGCGGACGGCGACGGGCGGGCTATCGGGTCAGCGTGATGTGATGGTGGCTGAATGGTGGGATTGAAGTTGTTGAAATGCTCTGGGTGACCCCGGATCACAGGAGGGACACTGCTGGGACGATGCATCCTCTGCGCCAGAGCAGCAAGGCGTTCATAGGCCGACATGTTCCCTGCTTCGAGTGGCATCGCCTGACCTTTCTGGAGCATCTGAAACGCTGATGCCTGAAGATTCGCGTGAAAGGAGCCATAGTTCAGGTCGACGTTAGGGGAAATGCTTCCAAAAGGATTGGATTGAATCGTTGGGATGAATGGGAACCTGGGTTTGTCCATGAACGACTGAATAGGCTGCTCCAAATCAGATGTTCGGTCTCCCATTCCGGAACCATGTGGAGACGTGCTGGGTGGTGCGTGTTGTCCAGCAGGAACTCCACCAAATGTGCCTTGACCCACTGCCATACAGAATGAAGACCTGTAAGTGTTGAACTACAAATAGCCCTGAACGATGGCATGCATGCAGTGAGCAGAAAGGGAGCTCACCTGGAGGTAGCAGAACCATATGCGTTGCAGGACCTCGGCCTACAGGTACGATCTTCATGCGGCAGATGTCAGCCAAAGAACGGACGAAGTCGCTTAGCTTGGGATACCCAATGGTAAGGTGATCGAGCTCCATGCCACACGTTGCACGGAAGTCACCCTTCAGAGAAGACAGAGGATACCATTCCCCTTCCTTCAGACGACTGGAAACCTGTTGAAGGAAGGTAGGCAGCCACTCCCTTAGCCGAATCAGCCAGGGAGGAGGTGGACCTTCATAAACAGGTGGTGCTTCCATTCCTTCTCCTGTGCCTGACTCGTCAGTCACGGAGCTTTCGCAATTGGCACTTCCTTGACCTGAGCTGTTGAAGCTCTCACAGGAATTAGGTGAGAGCGAACAGCTGAGCTCCAGTGCTTTCTTCTGTTCTGACACACTTGGCACCTGATTCCCTGCTACTATCATCAGCGGCCTTGGGATTGCGCTCTTGATTTCAACCTGGGAGACAAGAAAAGACGGTAATTCAGTTATGAATAGCGATATGGTAGAGTTGGCGATTGGAGGTTCAAAAGGGCACCCATCTCACCTTTTTACCAAAAAGAATCACGTAGTGCTCCTTCACTGCAGCAGTGACAGACTGCTCGTACTTGAAGGTGACAAATCCAAATCCACGGGATTGAACATGGTCTCCTGACTGACTCCCAATAACCACAGCATCCACCACTGGCCCAAAATGCTCCTCAAAATACTCCCTTAGGTCCTCTGTACAGAAAAGCGAGGGATAAGCATCGGCTCATAATGATCTGAACGAAAGGGGGCGGAATGTTACTCACCTGATTCCACTGAAGGTGACAATCCACCAACAAATATTTTCTTCCCCAGCTCATCAGGATTTTGCTGCAATGAGAACGGAGTGGGGTCAGACGACTTTTATACAAAAAGCCAGACATGCAATGTGCACGATAGCCCTTGCCTTGTATGGAGCGCTTTTGAAGCTTCCGTTTCTCTCTAGCTGTTGGTCCACTTTGTAATCACTCAATCCGCCATGACGGAGTAGCTCCCTCTCACCATGAGCAAAAAGGCAGGCGTCCCCACGAACACATCTGAAGCAACAAGTAAAAGTCAGGACACAATCCAATAAAAAGGATCATGTAAGGCAGGGTAGTAACTAACTACGTACCCTCCAGCCATCCTGTAATACCGGCAAAGCTCTGTCTTTGGTGGAGGAAGGAAGCGTGGTGCTGATGGCCTGCAATTGACAAATAATTAGCTAGGATTGAGAAAACTACAATAAAGCACTTGCGTGGTTCAACTTACAAGTCGAAATCTATTGAGCGACCCTTCTTTCTCTTTGTCTTCAAAAGAGAGCATCGAGCACCATGCATAGCAAGCTGTTGCAAGCGTGCTGCCACAGAATCCGGAGGGCCTGCACAGAGAAGCACTTTTGAACATTCTATAACGCACATAAAGAACCAATAACACGAACTTTGGCGCAACATACCTGTCGAAGTTTCCATCTCCAAAAGCCTTCTCCCTTCCTCTGTGGCAACATCCCAAGGACGCTCACCTCTGCATAAAACGGATGACGTTAGCTGGCATCTGAAAACTCGAGAGAATTGAAGGACAAATTACAAAATCAATCACCCAGACCTGAAGTTTGTACAGAGTCTGTCTGCTCCCCAAACGAGCAGTATCTTCACACACTCGGTATGATTACCCCGCACAGCCCAGAACAAAGCGGTCTCCCGTGCCACTGTCAGCAAATGCACTGCTGCAGGCTCTCTTGCAACCATAATCTGGAAAAAGGATGTCAGCGCAGTGCGTATTGTTCAGGAGAAAAAAAGCAAACAGAACACAAAACACACCTTCAAGGGATCCGAGTGCCCAAATTGAGCAGCAATATGTACAGGCGTCATTCCATCATTGTTTCCCAAGGAAACAGATGACCCTGCCTCTATGAGCTTCCAGACGACCCTGCACAGAAAAATAAAGAAAGCATAAGACTCACAAACAACACACTGTCATTATTGTTCGAAATGCAATGTAACGTACCCGATGAGATTGGTTCCAGCAGAGGAACGGAGGCAGCAGTGGAGTCCACTGTCACCCTGGCTATCCGTCTCCAATACTGAAGCTCCACCATTGATGAGTATACGGACGAGATCAGCGTCAACAGCCTGAAACATCAACAGGGTAATGCTATAGAATCAAACCAAAAGGATCAAATCATCATCTACGTACACGTTACCATACCCGTGCTGCCTTGATGATAGGAGGTGTGGGAATGGAGTCAGGTCTAAAACCCTGTGGTCTTTCGTCTGTCCTGTTCAAGTTCGGCCTCCACAGTGCAATCAGCTCAAGCTCTTTCATTGCAACTTCGCGGCTCAGCCGCCAGCCATAAGCTGACACACGGCTTTCTGCAGACAGAAGTGCAATGTCCACAAGCATGTCAGCTAACGCAGTGTCCTCTCCATTGAGTTGAAACACCATGTTAACGAGCGAATCCCCCACAGCAAGCAGAAGAGCGCCAAACTTTTCTATTATGCCACTCCAAGTTAGGTCCAGAACCAGCCTTCGAGCATCTCCCGAATGCTTGAAGAGCAAACGGACGACATTCAATTCCTGCATGACATAAAAGACGAATTAGAAACACCTCAATTCTTGATGCTACGAAATGGCAGCAACACTGATCTCACCTGGATGTTCACTCGGCTGAACAAATTTTCCAGGGACTTGATCTCAAGAGGTTGTAATTTCATCCTGCACAATATGGCAATTGAGTTTAGCTTTCATCTTGCATAAATAAGAAATCAGTGAACGGATGCTAAGACGAACATACCCGATGATCTCCAAAACTGCATCAACAGCACGCTTGCCGTCTTTGCATATCAACTCCGGGTTGGCTCTTCGACGCAGGAGTAACTCAAGGCACTGGACACTTCCGTTGACCGCAGCATTTCTCAAACAAGTCACGCCATTGTCGTCCAGGTGATCAAGCGAGAGCCTTTGCCCATCATCCGTCCTCCACTCGAGAAGAAACGCGAGACAGCTCACCGCATCGGCCTTTACAGCGTGATGCAATACAGCAGCCACTTTCTGAAGCATGTTGGCGCCATTCTCCTGGCCCCCCGACCTCAAGGTTGCATTCAGAACTTCAGCATTGTCCTCCTTGAGTATGGACGCCAGACTTCCAAGATCGTGGTCGGGATGGAGCTGAAAATTGTCACTGGATGGGGGGACGCACCGTTCAGTTGCGAAGGTGCCAGGCAGATCACATGACAGCTGCTCAGAAGCCATATTACTGGTCTTCTGACTTCCGGAGTTACAAAATGTAGCCGAATCAGCAGAATACGCTGGTTGAGAAGGAAATGCTGACGATGCTTGGAAAGCTTGGAGGTTCCTAAACGACTCCATTGCCACCTGCAGGTACATGAAGATAGATAATCAGCATTGCACAAAAAAACTTTCATATCAAGAAGTATCGAAAAACGTACCTCGAACAAGTGAAGAGTGCCGGCGGCAGTCTGGAAAACGGATAGAATAGATGTCAGCTAGAAAAAAAACGATAATGAAGGGTGTCCGAGTTCTTTCGACGGACTCCTTTGTTCTAAGTGAATTCCAAGGAAGTCTCCTCCCTCAGATCCTACATAATGAAAGGAGCACCAAGCACGTTGAGATTCGCGTTAGCTGAATGATGAAGAAGAGAGTGCTTGTCCCACCCAACGTACAATAGAAAGGCAATGGTTCTCCGTGTCGATTATCATGGCAATCTCCATGGCAACCACCATGGAAACCTCCATGATGGATCATCTTCACGCGCCGTGGAATCCCAAATGCCCAAATTCCATTCATCCGCAAACCAGTGTCCTTGGCGCGCTCCGTGCATGGTGCACTTGGGGCCCACTTGACGTGGAGAGCCAAGTGCAGGCCTCTGAGAGCCTTTGGGTCACTCAAGACAGTACCAAGGGCTGATCCACAACTCGTTTTTGTTGTGAAAGATATTATTCACCAATGAGCGCTCCGGTATCTGTAATATATATTCTTAGTACAAGAGAGGGAAATAGATAGAAATAACATGGAAAATAGATTATTTACTATTAAAATAAAAATATATTAAGGAAAAAAAATATCTCTGAATGTTCCAAAATCATTTCAGCATATTCTTAATCAATTGATACTGGTTTCTTCTCCTTATATAAAAATATGATTCTTAGACAGTGCTGTGTATCTGGGGTAAAACCTAGCAGATGGAGGGATGTTAATAGACTTTGAATTAGATTACGGTAAGGAGGTTGATTGAAGTGTTAGAAAGATGTGTAAGGACCTAAAGGTTTTTAATGTAGAACAGTACCCGAGATAATTTACAATGTGGCAGTTTCGCCTAGAGATTCCCTCCAGCACCCTCCAATACCTCAGCACCTGTAGCTCCGCTTCTCCTCATACAACACAGCCCAACTCATTCTCCACCAGATTCAGCGACTTGCTTCAGTCTCCCCTTAGGTAGGTCGGCTGTTCCTGATGCTCATTTTCTCTACCCCACTCGCATTTAGGCCTCCCCCGCGTCAACAGCTCCTCGGGCCAATCTCATCATCAACACCCATTGACGAGTCGTAACGTGCTGCTCGGTACGTGCATTTTGAAGCTAGATACTACCAAAGGGTACCTTGGCCGGCCAAGTCACGCGTGAGGCGTTCCAGTAGGTCAAGGCGGTGGATCATCGCTCCCAGTGACGACATGGTCCCGCATTGGCGCAAAATGTCTCACGGGCAAAGATGTTGCACCCGGGGAGATGTCCCACGCAGACAGAAATGTCGCACACAGGCAGAAATGTCGCACGCAGGCAGAGATGTTGCACGTGAATAGAAACGCGAGCCATAGGCAGACTCCGCTCAAGCGTCCATTAGATTCCCCTCCTCCATGGACCACCCTTCCCTCCTGCACCCAACATTTCCCCATGGTTAACCATTTACCCCATCCCCACCGTATTCGAATGCGTCACATGCGCTATAGCGGCTCCGCCCCGCCGTGACCATGTTTGCATTAAATGCGCGCTTTGAATTTCCTGTGCCTCCTCTCACCCTCCCCTCTCCCCCCCTCCCATCTCCCCCCCTCTCCTCCCCTCCGCGCGACCTTTGGCCATATTTCGTCCTCCGCGGGTGTTCCGCGCCCGCGGTGTGCGCGCGCATCCCCTTTCCCCGGGCTTTCCTCCCATTCCCCCTTCCCCTTTCCCTTCTCCCCTTCCCCCGCTTTCCGCCAGCAGCGCGCGCCGATGTTCGCGGTGGGTGCGCGCATCTGGGTGAAGGATGAGGAGGAGGCGTTCGTGGAGGCGGTGGTCACGGGCGTGGATGGCGACATCATCGAGGCCGACGTCATCGGCCGCAAGGGGCCTCTGGCCAAGGTGAGCCGGAGGAGAGTGCATATGATTTTTTGCGTCTCAAGACGCGTTTAGGTGAAGGATGAGGAGGAGGCGTTTGTGGAAGCGGTGGAAGCGGTTTGACGGGTCTGGGTGGCGACACTATTGAGGCTGACTTCATCGGCCGCAAGGAGCTGGGGGGCAGGGCGAGGGAATGGGGCCCCAGGGGGTCCTTTGAGTAAAGGAACGCAGGTGCTAGCTCGCCAGCAGCAGCGGCAGCAGGCAGAGGATGCAGCAGTAGCTCAGCAGCAGGCAATGGGGGTGGCGGCGGCAGCAGCAGCAGCAGCAGCAGCATTGTGTCACAACATTGGAGAGTGGTGCAGGACGGACGGATGCCATGTGTAAGCTGGCGAGGCGTCATTAATCTTACCCTGAACCCCCCCACACACTCCCTCACTCTCTCCATCATTACCTCCCACCCACCACGTGCCTCCTTTCACAATCTTCATCTTGCCTCCCCATCTCTCCTCTTTTCCTCCCGCCCCCCTCCTTCCGCGGTCTTATTTTCCGTGTCATACCCCCTTCCTCCCTTCCCCTTCTTCCCCCATTCCCCCTCTTTCCCCCTTCCCCGTCTTCCCCCTTCGCTATCCCTGCAGGCGCATCTGAAGGCGTCGGAGTGCCACCACAAGGAGGAGGACCTGGGGCTGGTGGACGACATGACCAAGCTCGCGCACCTGCACGAGCCGGGCGTGCTGCACAACCTGGGCACCCGATACCACAAGAACCTCATCTACGTGAGTGGGGCGCTGTCCAACGCAGAGTGAATCAGGATTGCGTGTGGGTGGGGTGGGGATGTCAAGACTGTCATGGGATGGTGGGCTGGTAAAAGGTTGCATGGGGATGCGTGTTGAGCGCTGGGGGACGAATAGCGGTGTGAGTCGTGAGAGTTGAGAGGCGTATGAAGCGTTTCTTTGTCGCAGCAAGAAGAGGGAGGGAGTGAGAAGGAAGACCTTGGACTTGGAAAGACCCTTTATCACACACTCTCTCTCCCCCCTTCCCCTCCCCACCCCCATTCCACCTCAGACATACACGGGCAGCATTCTGATAGCGGTGAATCCGTTTGTGCGGCTGCCAGCGCTGTACCACCCCATCATGAAGCTGCAGTACCGCGGGGCACAGCTTGGGGAGCTAGGCCCGCACGTCTTCGCCGTTGCAGACCATGCCTACCGGTGGGTGGGGCAGGGGTAACGGGGAGTTGCTTGTTAGGTCTAGGCCATGCCGTGCCATGCCATGCCATGCCATGCCATGCCGTGCCGTGCCATGCCATGCCGTGCCATGCCATGCCATGCCATGCTGTGACATGCCGTACCTACAGGTGGGTGGATCCTGACTAAGGAAATTAACGCCGTTGCTGCGATCCTGACTGGTTCCCCTGTCAGCCAGTGGTGCTGCCAGACTGATCGGGTTTCCATTCCACCACACAGTTGCAGCAACGATACCTGATGCTGATGCTGGCCCCCTCTCCCTCGTCCACCCTTCCTCGCCCTTCCCTTTCACCCCCTTCTCCTCCCTTCCCCACCCCTTCCCCTCCGCAACCACCCCAGGTCGATGGTGGACACCGGGCAGAGCCAGTCAGTGCTGATCAGTGGTGAGAGCGGGGCGGGCAAGACAGAGACGACGAAGCTGGTGATGGAGTACCTGGCGGGGCTGGGGGATACGGGCCACGACAACAGCAAAGGCGCGCCCAAGAACGAGGCCATGATTGCCTCGCAGCTCTGTGTGTCAAGGGTGCTCGAGGTGGGTGGGGCGAGGGAGGCGTGGGCCTAGGCGGAGGGAGGTTCAGGGTGGATTGGAGAGTGTGTGGAGGACTGGAGGTGGGTAGGTGTGCGTCTGAAGGTGGCTTTTCTAGGTGCCGAGAGGTGTTTTTGCAGGGGCTGGTGTGGGATGCAGGGGGGTGGTTGCTGGTGGTGGTGGGGGTGGGGGAGGGAGAGGGGCAGGGGAAGAGTGAGGCAACAGCGCTGACGGGTGTGCACGGAATAGCTTGGCATGAATGGTGAGGACAGTGGTAGCAAGAGAGGTGAGGTACTGTGTAGAGGTGAGCAGCCACTGCCTCACCTCCTCACTCCCTCACTGCCCCACTGCCCCACTGCCTCACTGCCCCACTCCCCCACTACCTCAGTGACCCTGCCCCCCGTACCCTCTTGTTTCCCCTTTCCAACCCAACCCTGTTTCCCCCAGTCTGGCAAATGTGACCCTCCATGCTCGTCCATCCCTCTTCATGCTCACCAATGCCTGCACTGCACCTCTACTCTCCATGAACACTTCTCCATGCACTGCTTCCCAGGTCCTTATCCACACTCCTTTCCTCTCCTCGCCATTCCTGTCTCCCTCTCCCACCAGTCCAACCAACTGCTGGAGTCCTTTGGAAACGCCAAGACAGTGCGCAACAACAACTCCAGGTACCTGCCTGCTTCAAGCTCCCAGGCGCGCCACGCTGCTAGTGACTATTCGTGTGCGGATGATTGCCTATCAAGGAGTGATAGATGCCCATCCTCCTGCCGTGCGAAACTATTTTATCTTGGGAGGGCCTCCTCTGCAGTGTCGCCTGCCCACACGAGGGCTTGGGTGGGAGAATGTGTCTGGGAGCAGTGCATGCCCTTGTTTTCCCCTTACACCTGCGTCTCACCACCCTCCACCCCCTGCCAAGAAAGGCCACTGCTATCCCATGTCTGCTGCACAACTTCCTCCTGTGTTCCATCTGGTCCCTCGTGCCTCCTCTCCCTTTTCTTCCCCCTCATCTCCTCGCCCCCCCATCCCGCCCCACCTCTCCCACCCCACCCCTCGACCCTACTTCCCCCCTGCGCACATTCCCATGTGCCCCCCAGTCGCTTTGGCAAGTTCATAGAGATTCAGTTTGACGCGAACGGGTGTGTGTCGGGTGCGGCCATCCGCTCGTATCTGCTGGAGCGGTCCAGAGTGGTGCAGATTAGCGACCCCGAGCGCTCCTACCACTGCTTCTACCAGCTGCTCTATGGGGCCACGCCCGAGGTGGGAGGGGCGGGTGGGGTGAGTGAGGCACGAGTGGGGTGAGAGGCACGAGTGGAGTGAGGGAGTGCATGATGTGCGCCCTTGTGTGTGTGTGGTGGGTGCACATGTGCGTGTGAGTGTGTGAGTCAACAAGGCAGAGGACATCATTGACCCCGAGCGCTCCTATCACTGCTTCTACCAGCTGCTATGGGCCGCTAAACTCCGCCAGGTGAGAGGCATGGCTGAAGTGGAGTGCTGTTGCCATGCTGTGATGCTTGTCCACAATGTTAACATTCATGCATTAGGCTAGCATGGGGATGTGATGTTAAGCAATGATACATACATTCTTAAAGGATACGAGTCACATTTGGAGCGGGTCACAAGACACAGCCATTCATCCTCCGTCTGCCCCCCAGCACTCTGGTCTAGTCACGCCTGCTGCCTGTATCCATCACTTACCATCCCGTTCTACCATTCCTTCTCCCTGCCCCTGTGCTTCCCCCGCAGGAGGCCGAACTTTTCAAGCTGCCCACGACGGGCGAGAGGGGCAAGCAGTTCCGGTATTTGAACCAGAGCGAGTGTTTTGAGCTGCCCGACAGCTGCAGCAATGCGGAGGAGTACCGCAAGACACGGCACGCCATGGAAGTCATGGGCTTCACACTCGAGGAGCAGGTGATGGCGGGGGCCATGCCATGTGGCATGCTTCGTTAGCATGGCAGGCATGGCATGGCATTGCCTAGCAAGAGATGGCTTTCGGCCTGACTGAAGGGTCACTAGAACATCGAGTGGGGTGTGTGCATGCATGGATGCGTGCACTGTGAGCTGAGAGCTCTCAGCAGTTACAGGCAGGTCGCTCCCCACGTCAACTTGTAGGATGTCTGTGCAGCTACCTTGCATCCGGACAGGGTCTTGTCAATGCCGTTTAATGCCCCCTGCTACGTCTTGCTGGATGCGCAATGTGCTGTTCCAAGGTTCTAGAGAGACACGCCTGTGGGCACACTCGTCCTCACCACCCTTATCCATCCGCCCATGCTGTGTTCCCTCTCCTGTACTTGTGTGCCATGCAGATGGGCATCCTGCGGCTTTGTGGCCACAATTCTGCCCCTGGGAAACGTGCTGTTCCATGGCTCAAGAGCTGCCCATGGGCACACTCGTCCTCACCACCCCTATCCCCTGCCCATGTCCTCACTCCGGGTCTCATGCTGTGTCGCCTGTGCCTGTGTGCTATCCAGATGGGCATCCTGCGACTGCTAGCCGCCATTCTGCACCTGGGGAATGTGCTGTTCCAAGAGGGGGACGACCCCCCACCGCAACTGGCAGGGGAACAGTCCGACTTCCACCTCACCACCGTGGCCGAACTGCTGGGGTGAGGGAGAGTTGGCTGTAGGGGTAAAGCGATGGCAGTGATGGCAGTGACGTCAGAGATGGCAGAGATGGCAGTGATGGCAGGGATGGCACTGATGTAGAGATGGTACGGACTCCAGAGTTGACGGAGGCAGTAGTGAGGAGAGGTTTAGAGGCAAGGATGGGGGTGTTTCAAGAGTAGGATGAACCGCCCCCCCCCTTCCCCACCACAATTGGCCGGTCAAGAGCTCGAATTCAACCTAACCACTGTGGCCGAACGGCTGGGGTGAGGAAGAAGTGGTTGTCGGGGTGAGACAGGGGTGATAGTGGGGCAGCTGAGAGTGAGGCGAAGCAAGGACCAGGGTGTTCTAAGAGTCAGTTGACCCCTCTCCTCAGCTGACAGGGAAGCATTCACATCATCCGTCTCACTCCCATCATCCGTCTCACTCACATCATCCGTCTCACTCACATCATCCGGCTCACTCACATCATTTTGAAAGATCTTCAACTCATCAACTCTCCTTATTCCCCTCCTGTGCTGCCGTCAGGGTGCCCAAGGAGCCCTTGCTGGAGACGCTGGTGACGTACACGCGCAAGGTGGGCCGGGAGGTTTTCAAGAGCCCGCTCAAGCCGCAGGCCGCGGCTGCCAAGCGCGACACCCTCGCCAAGACCCTCTACTCCAAGCTCTTTGATTGGTGAGCGCTGCTGTTATGGCTTTTTGGGGTTCGTTCTAAAATTTCTCAAAACTGACTCTCTCTTGCCAAGACCCCCTGTACCAAGATATTTGACTGGTGAGTGCTGCTGTGTAAGTGGACTACAACGATTCCTTTCAGTCCAACCAAGCACGCTTTTGTTGAAATCCTGCAGCGAGTTCGAATTAGCTGCAGTTTTCTTGTCCCTGCTCTCTCTTTTCTCTCCACCACGGGATCCCCTAACCCCATGTGATGAGCCTTGACCCCCGCCCTGCTGCTGTGTATGGGTACGGCTCAACCACCTGTCACGTGTGCGTGTTAGGTCTGCTTGACATGCATAAGCATGAGCTGCCCTCGTGTCAGGGTAGTTAAGTCGGGCGGCGACTCCTGCCCCGCTTGCACGCCATTCCATGGCACGTCTACCTGTCACTATCCGAGTCGCCCATGGCTCGACACACGAAACTTTGCGAGTCAAAACTCACATCGCAGAGGGTGTCTGCGACTTTTCGTTGCAGGGCGGATGCGCACACAATTCTTGTGGATACACTGTATCCCGTGGGTTTGTACTGTATTGCATGTGTGGCATCTCGGCGACCACCCAGTTGTCTCCATCTGGGTTGGCAGTTGTATCGCGGGCGACCTCGCTAGTGCCATCGTGCGATAACATTCATCACCGTGGCATCTAGGGCCGTAGACCCGCAGTTAGGAAAACCTATCCCATTGTACAGCTCAACCTACCTGACACGCACACATGACACGTGGTTGAACCCTACCCTACCTCTTCTTTCCTGCTGCAGTACCTCGTCTCCCCTCTCCCCTCTCCCCTCTCCCCTCTCTCCTCTCTCCTCTCTCCTCTCTCCTCTCTCCTCTCTCCTCTCTCCTCTCTCCTCTCTCCTCTCTCCTCTATCCTCTCTCCTCTCCCCTCTCCTCTCCCCTCTCTCCTCTCTCCTCTCTCCTCTCCCCTCTCTCCTCTATTCTCTCCTCTACCCTCTCTCCTCTATCCTCTCTCCTCTCACCTCTGTCCTCTCCTCTCTCCTCTCACCTCTTTCCTCTCTCCTCTCTCCTCTCACCTCTCTCCTCTCCTCTCTCCTCTCCTTTCTCCCCTCTCCTTTCTCCCCTCTCCTCTCACCTCTCTCCTCTCTCCTCTTTCCCCTCTCCTCTCTCCTCTCACCTCTCTCCTCTCTCCTCTCTCCTCTTCTCAATCCCCTCTCCCTCACCTCTTTCCCCTCAACACTCTCCCCCCTGCCCTCCCCTGAAGATGACTGAGAGCATAGACCAGGACCCAACTCACCTGTGCCCTTAATCTCGCTTCCTCTCCGCTTCCCACTCTCCACTCCCCTCGCTTTCTCCCTCTGTCGCTTGGTGCCAGGATCGTGGCGAAGGTGAATGAGAGCATAGGGCAGGACCCCACGTCCACCATGCTCATTGGCGTGCTCGACATCTACGGCTTCGAGCACTTCAAGACCAACAGGTGCGTGGCTGCACGCACGTGTGAATAAGGTTGCTTGGAGACTGTCTCACAGCAACCCCGCATCTGCCATCGGTTTCGAGCACTTCAAGACTAACAGGTGGGCCTGGACCTTCCTGGACCAACAGGAGGCAAGGCATTGACAGCAAGACACCACCATGCTATCACGCAGCCCTCGAAGCGCGCACTTGCCGTCACTTGCCCTTTTCCGGCACAAGCCCATGTATGGAATGTGAAACTAAGGCGCAAAATGCATGTAATAAGACGGCAAGAGCAGACCAGGAAAGTGTGGCCAGCACTAGGCAGCACCGACCCAGACGACACACTCTCTTTCGCCCTCCCTCCTTCCCTGTCTGTGCTCCCTCACCTCTCTCACCCCTCTCACCATTCTCACCCCTCTCCCCCTCCCCTCACCCCACTCCCCCCTCTCACCCCTCTCGTCCCTCCCACCCCTCTCGCCCCTCCCACCCCTCTCGCCCCTCTTACAGCTTCGAGCAGTTCTGCATCAATCTGGCCAACGAGAAGCTCCAACAGCATTTCAACGCGGTACGCCCCTCCAAACCCAACCTCCTTCTCCAATCAATGCAGCTGTATGCCACCACCATGTCCGTCTAGTCAAGATGGTTTTCTCTGTGTTACGTGTTTATCCACAACTGTATGCGAATCTTTCTGAAGCCTGTTAAATATATCATCTCTCGAATCCACCTGTCTGTTACTTTTCAACTCACTGCTCTACCAATCTGTCCCTTGCTGTTGCCCTGGCCTCTGGTGCGTGGCAGCACGTGCTGAAGATGGAGCAGGAGGAGTACACGCGGGAGCAGATCGACTGGAGCTACGTGGACTTCACCGACAATGAGGATGTGCTGGAGCTCGTAGAGGGGGTGAGTGGGCGGGTGGAGGGGGTGAGTGGGGCTCGGAGAAGGGGTGAGTGGAAGGGGTGAATGGGGCGTGAAAACAGGGGTGAGAGTGGGCTGGTGGAGGAGGTGAATGCGAGTGGGGCATGAAGTGGATGAACGAGGTTTGGCTGCTGCTCGCTGTGCGAGGAAAGGGAGTGTGGGCTCTTGAGTAGCCACCCTCACCGTAGGCAGGTCGACTGGAGCTACGTGGAGGAGGTGAGTGGGGCTCGAAGTGGGGTTGAGTGAAAGGGGTGAGTGGTTATTCCCCACTGGAGTGATGCGCTAGGCATGCTAAATATTAGAATAGCAGTCCAAAGGGTAGGCAGGTGTCATATGGGGGGTTGAGTGCTGCTCCCTCACCCTATGGTGCTGCCCCCCCCACCCACTGGTGCTCGTGATGCCATGTGAATGTGCTTTATGTGTGTGTGCATGTGTGGGTGCATGTGCGGGTGCATGTGTGGGTGCACGTCTCTCTCTGTGTGTGAGCAGAAGCAAGGCATTCTCAGCACACTGGACTCCACATGGTAAGCCTTCGCTTGCTCCATGTCCCCTGCTCATTCTTCGATGCCACTCGCTCCTCTCACTTCACTATTGTTCTCTTGTTACCCGCCTCTGATACACCCTTTCCCGTTCCCTCTCCCCCCCAACCCCCGGCCCCTCCCCTGCCACATTTCCCATGCCATCCGTTTCGAACCAACACCTGTTGTTCCTCCGCGCTTGTTCCGTTGTGCTTGTTCGCCCGCCTTTCTGCACCCTCCTGCACTGTGTCTTGGTTCACCTCTCTTCCGCCCTCCGTCCCGTCACCTCCCCTCACCCCTGTGCAGCAAGACGCCCAACTCCACGCCTGAGACGTTCAGCCGCACGCTGTACAAGCAGTACGAGGCCCACGAGCGCTTCCTCTTCGGCAAGATGTCCAAAACCGACTTCACCATCCACCACTATGCTGGACAGGTGCGCCTTAGATCGAGGACGTGGTGGTGCTGCGACATTTTGTACCGTATCAACACATGCAAGTGTTGGGTGGGACGGGCACGATGCGGTGTTAGAGGGCTGCTTTTCCCCTCTTCTTCTTGCCTTCCCTCATGATTTTTCAGGTGCGTTAGAACCTACCTATAGGATCCAACCGGCTCCTCAGGACCGATAATAATGCCTTGCTGCCTTGCTGCTGTGGTGCTGTGGTGCCTCGCAACTGTCACTGTCACGGGGCATCAGCTGCCATGCAGCGCTCATCCTCTCTGCCCCTCCTCTTCCGCCTTTTCCTGCCCGCCTCTGTCTCTTGCCTTTCCTGGTATCCCCCCTCCTTCCTCCCCCCTCCCCCCGCCCCCCCCCCGCACCTCTACTCTCCTCCTCCGTTTCCCACTCTCCTCCCATACATCCTCCCTCTCTCCTTCACCTCCTTTTCCCCCCGCTACCAGGTGAAGTACCTGTTGAACAAGTTTCTGCTGAAGAGCAGGGATGCGGTGCTGCACTCACACATCATGCTCCTCTGCCGCTCCACTTACTCCTGCCCCCTCTTCCCTGTCCCCACCCCGCTCCGTGCACCAGGTGAAGTACCTGACGGACGAGTTCCTGGTGAAGAACATGGATGCGGTGGTGCCGGAGCACGAGGCGCTGCTGGGCAACTCCGCCCACGCCTACATCGCACAGCTCTTTCCCCAGGACGCCGAGGCCAGCAAGGCTGCCTTCAACTCCCTGGGGAAGAGATTCAAGGTGAGGCTGACTGGGGGTGCTGCCTCAGGCTGGGGCTGCTGCTCTTGTCTTGTCTCACTGTTTTCTCCCACTAGCCGCTTCCTCCTCCTGCCAGTAGTTGCTCTCTCCCACTCCGCCCGCGCCTACATCGCACAGCTCTTTCCCCAGGACGCCGAGGCCAGCAAGGCCGCCTCCCAACTCCCTGGGGAAACGATTCAAGGTGAGGGAGAAGGAGAGGGAGCGAGAAGGGAGGGGGGGTGGAGGGGGGGGCGGGTCGCGTGAAGGAGGGGGGCAAGGAAGGGCGCTCGTGCCCGTCAGACGGCTGTGTCTCTCCCATCAGCCGTTTCCCCCTCCTCCAGCCAGAGCAGGAGGAAAAGGCTAAGAGTAGAACTGCTTGAACTCCCGGGGTCGCACTTATGTCAACAACCGTTTTCCCTTGTCACCCGGCCTTCTCCCCACCTGCACCCCCCATGTGTTGTGTGTCCTATCAACCACCCGTTGGGTGCACCCAGCAGGATTAATGCATGCACATAGTAAACAGCATGCGGCCCACTATGTCCCAAGAATCAGGCGCCTTTTCACTTCCCCCCACTCCAGGAGCAACCAGCAGCATTTAACATCACGAACGTTTCGCAGGTGCTTGTTCTTTCAATAACTCAGCACTCCCATCACCCCATACCCGCCACCGTCAGGAGCAACTCGCAGTGTTGATGCACACGCTCAACCGCACTCAGCCGCACTGCATCCGGTGGTGGAGTGAAGGGCAGCAGCACCCCTTCTCGCTTCCTTTATCTCACTCCCCAAACATATATTCGTACCCTCCCCCCCCCCCCACCCCACAGGAGCAACTAGCGGCCCTAATGCGAACACTGAACAGCACGCAGCCGCACTACATCCGGTGTGTGAAGCCCAACAGCACGCTCAAGCCCGGGGTCTTCACGCGCAATCTTGTCATGGAGCAGCTGCGCTCAGGGGTGAGTGCCAAGGGCTGTGCGTGCGTGTGTGTGGGGAGGGAGGGGGGGAGAAGGGGGGATGAAAGGTGAGTGCGAGGGTTGCATGTGTTTGGAGCTGTGGCCAGCAGAGATTGAGTTGCGGTAACAAGCCACGTCTTCACGCGCACACGTGAGTGCCAAGGGCTGTGTGCGTGGGAGAGTGAGGGGGCGGGGTGAGATGGGCGGGAGAAGGAGAGGGTTAGTTGCATCAAGCCAGGGGTCTTCATGTGCACGCTTGTCTTGAGCACCTGCGATTTTGGGTGAGTGCCAAGGGCTGTGCATATGGAGGGAGGGAGGAATGAAAGGTGAGTGCACAGGTGCATGTGTGGGAAGGAATGGCTGGCAGGAAGTGGGTTGCGGTGCCTCAAGCTGGGCGGCTTCACGCGCATGCTTGTCATGGAGCAGCTGCAGTTAGTGGTGAGTGCCATGGGCTGTGTGCCTGTGGAGGAGGAGGAGGGGGTGGGTGGGGTGGGTGGGAGAGAGGGGTTGCATGGCTGAAGCCACACCATCGCGTGCACTCTTGTCAGGGAGTAGCTGCAGGCATGGGTGAGAGAGAGCACGTGTTATGGAATTGCTCAAGGCACGTGTCGCCCATGGTTGCTTGCTCTCAGAGCTGAGGGTGGGATTCCTTGAGGGGTTTTCAACAGGAGTTTAAGCTAGAGTGAGTGCAATACGTGAGTACGACTGCATGCTGTGTGCATCAGGTGTGCCGTCAATTCGACTCTCTGCCGGTTTTCATGCAAGCTTTCTCCACCTCTCTTCCCACAGTCTCCCCTTTTCTCTCTGCTCACCTCCGTTCCTCCCCTGATTCTTCCCCTCCAGGGAGTGCTAGAGGCAGTGCGGGTGTGTTCCAAGGGCTACCCCACGCGGCGCTCATTTGAGGACTTCATAGACAGATTCGCCTTCCTCGTGCCCTCCTCGCTCTACGACGAGTGAGTGCCCTCTGCCTGCCGTGCCTCAATCTACCAACGAGCACCCTCCTCCGTCGCGCTTGCATCTCATCGATTCACAAGATATCGGTGTCCGTTGTTTCCATTGCCGACCAAGCAGCTGCTTGGTCGTGCTTCGACTGTTCATCGTGTCAGCTTTCTCAGGGTCTCACGAGCGTCTGATGAGTGTCTGATGGGCGTCTGATGGGCGTCTGATGGGCGTCTGATGGGCGTCTGATGGGCGTCTGATGGGCGTCTGATGAGCGTCTGATGGGCGTCTGATGAGCGTCTGATGGGCGTCTGATGGGCGTCTGATGAGCGTCTGATGGGCGTCTGATGAGCGTCTGATGGGCGTCTGATGAGCGTCTGATGGGCGTCTGATGAGCGTCTGATGGGCGTCTGATGAGCGTCTGATGGGCGTCTGATGAGCGTCTGATGAGCAGTTCCACCCATCCAACCCTGTGCGCCTTCCCATCTCGAGATGACTATTTCTCTTAGGCATGCCCTGTGCCGTAGGCCTGGAAGCACGATTCCTTCCCACGCCCCTCCTCATCCCTCTCCTTTATTGTCAAGGTGTCAACCACCCTGCACGCCCTTCGTTTACCTACCCTGTGCTGCTCACCCTCCCCTCCGATGTTCTGTCCCCCCCATGGCCCTCTCCTTCCCCTCAAAAACCGTGTGTCTTACATGGGTGCGGGTGTTTGTGTGCATGGCAGGGCGGAGGATGATGAGCTGGTGCGAGCAATCATGAAGGAGGCAGGCATTGAGGGGTACCAGGTGCGTGGCTGTGCACTTACACACACGCATGCATACATGTACGCAATACACATTCAACACACAGCACAGACACACGCACAACGAGTGCACATGGCCACATGCCCAGGTCACAAGCACATACCCGCACTCATTGCGTGGAAAGATGAACTTGCATGCATGCATGAGCTTGAAGCCATACCCACACACTCACCGTTGTGCCTCCATTGTTCCACAAATGTCTCTTTCCTGGTAACACTGTCTCCTAAACCTAAGTTAGTTTGTTGAGAATTCTCAAAAAGCCCCACATCCCTCCACATCCATCACGTCCCTCTCTTCCTTTCCTCTGCCCCCCCTCCTCTCCTCCCATACCCCTGCCCCCCTTCTTCCCCCTCCTCTCTCTCCCTTAGACCGCCCTGACCAGGGTGTTTCTACACGCGGGGCGGATGGTGCTGCTGGAGACGTTTTCCAAAACGCCTCAAACACGCTATCCACTCCCTCACCTTCCCTCTCTCCTCCCCTCCCCCCCCTCCCCCCCCCTCCCCCCCCCCC